GGCCGGGGTATGTTATCAGGAAGTCGATAAGATAAATAATAAGACGGTACTTGTATAGCGGGTACGGTACGAAAGACAGCTGAGAAATTAACGATATCGTTAAAAGGGTAATTAAAGAAGCGCGGGTGATAAAAACTCGCTGTTTACTTTATCCTCGATTGGCAAAGTGCGTCACTTGATTTACGCACTTGACGCATTGATTACGCGCGTTGATGTTAAAGCGAGCGAATCGAACGTTAATCGCACGACCGTGCCACGAGGGCCACCGTTATGCACGTATATACTATCCATCTGGATACCCAAGCGATACGTACGTCGTACGTGTCCTTAAAGGTATAATTATCGTACGGCTTGAGGTCAGCACCGAGTGACCTCGGACATCCGCGCCAGTTTGATTTATCGAAGGATTCGTGTAATTAAACGAAAACTATAAGACAGAGGGAGGCAGGGGGTGGGCTGGCGTTTAGGCTACATGGGTGTCCCAGGTGGTTCACGCATTAAACGTGCTTAAACACCCCGAAGGACACGTTCTTTTTTCTTTTCTCCGTAAGGGATCCGAGATCCCGTGGGAAACGAAAGGGCCGCTCTGGTACCCCGGAATCCTAGCGAGGAAGATTTTCATCCCTTAAGAAGGAAAAATGACCGTGATGACAATCGAGAGAAAGGATGGAGAAAAAAATCGTGTAGGACCCACAGGATAACCCGTATGTAAGAATTATCGAGCAGGAAAACCCGATATAACGGGATAACGATATAAAAAAATCTGTAAATTTCTTAACACCCTATGTAACATACGTCCCTCTTAATCCAAATAAAAAGTTTAATGGGACCGTTTTTGTCACTCGAATGATACTTAAATCTCGAGTCTCATAGGTTCGATCCCTTAACGATCATCCTCGAGCTCTTAGCCGATGTTAAAGACCGATCGAGAAAACCCTTGGAACCCTATTTTCAGGGTATTAACGTACAAGTTGTACCGAAGTTACGAGGTCGGACAGTACGGCGGCACGCGAAGGATGCCGAACATTACCGATCACGATTCTCCGCTTGGGATGCTCCAGGTTCCTCGTAAAACGCAAGATTAACGATTCGGAATCGGGACAGGCGTGACTCGCGACTACATTCCGATTGACGGAGCGGCCGGACGTCGATGAGGGACACCTTCGGGTTGTTCGGGACCAGTCAGCATCCGATGACCCGACCGCGCGACCCCTTTCAGGCCGATCGACGTTATTTGGATTCCTGACGGTTGTTCGGCTCGCGCATCGACGATCCACCACGTCCTGCAAACATTCGACTTTATAGAGACAGGACCCGACCACAAAGGATCCCGGTACCACGGTTAGGGAGAATCTCCGTGGTTTGAGAAAGTCTAAGAGAAAGGAGGAATTAAACCTGAGTCAAATATGAGATTGGCTTACAAGCCCTTATGCGCGACCCCTTGCGACCTCGTGTACCTGTGGCAGAGCGTAATGTACCAAGGGGAACGATGGGACGCACGAGGTAACGCATAGGAGCATGAGATAAATGTCGTGTGGAGCCGTGATCCTGAGAGCCAATTGATTATTATCATAATCCTCGTTACGCCTGACAAATCGTCGGATTAGGTTCTTCGCTATTAACCCGTCCGACTATGCCGACTGTACAGTCTCGTCTATTATGCTGCGTCTGTTACATTGGAATTCGACAATGATACCTGGCTTAAGGTTGGTTCATAATTTAAGCTCGGCAGGTTTAACTATCAACTGGTACTAATAAGGTCCTATTACTGGATCAATTGATCTGATTGTAGCTGTGCGTAATCGCAATACAGAAATTGGGATTTTGGATATGATTCTCATGGTTGCTACGGATGAGTACAGAGCGCAAGTTCAGTAGCGTCACCGTACACATTTTTTAAGTGACCATCCTTACTGTGTTTTAGTATTACGCGTGGACCAGGAGAATCTTACAGGTATCATGGGCCCAAAGCACAGCGAGAATGGGTGCTGGCATGGGCTTTTGAAGGCCCTATTAACGAGAGGCCCCCTGTGGCTTCCGCAGCGGGCCCAATCAGTCCCTGGGTCCAATCCAGTCCCAGCGCCGCACCGTGGACTTGTTTTATGTAAAGCCCGCGACGCCAGAATCAATTAGCCAAGCCACCCTCCTATTTTGCGTATGCATACGTAGATCTAGTGGGCGTTCCACTCGAAACGACCTAACACTATTTAAGATTCAGGATCGTCAATACCGAGTGCGTATGAAATTCAATAATTAAAATATCCCTTAACCTTCTCTCTCGCGTTTCACACGAAAAATTTGTCATTGCATACCCAATATTACCTCAGACAGCGTATACGTGTAAAAATACAAATTGCTCCAAATTCTCACGTAATACCTTGAAACAATGAAATTTTGAGTGCATCCCTCGGCACGGGATACGCATGCGCATACCAGCCAAGGATCGCGCGCACAATTAGTAGGCATGGATACGAATTTTAATGAGGCGTCGACGCAAGAGCCAAGGTATAAAAATGGTTTATGCCCCGCGAAACTCGGCACCGCGCGGTCCCATCAATTAGCCACGTTATGCGGCGCATAATCAACATATTCAATACCGCAAATGAGAACGCTCTTAAATCGATCGTACGAAATTGGCAATTTGCAGCGAGGCGAACCAAGCGAAACGAAGTGAACCAGCGCGTCCTTGCGCAACCCGGTGAAAAATACCGTAAGCCTTCCTCTTCTTATCCAACGTTAGGATCTGCCCATACGAAATTCCTGGACGTCATCGATCCGCCATAAAGGAAGATGTCAATTTCCACGAGGACCAGCCGTGCGACGCGTAGCGACCGTGCGACTGGGTAAATAAATAAATGACAAAGAATTCGAGGTATCAATAATACAAAAGAAGAAAGTATACGTATACATACATACAGACGAAGAAAGGTTCGAGTGACAAGACTAGGTGTTCAGAGTCGATTGGGACCTCCTTCGTGATGTCCCAAAACTATTTCAATAAGGATTGCCGAGTCGCAGCATGAGCGCCATATATCATAGAAACATAGCAGCATGGGAGCATACGTTTTACTTCGCTCGACTACTAGACAAACACTCGGCATTCGAAATCCACCGAGTCGAATGTACCGGCTGAAAGAGTACGCATATATCAAGCTTGTTTATATCTACGAGGGGGTCCCTCTGTGCAACAATACACCAATTTGGCTGCAGTGATAGGGGATCTCATGGTGGATCTTCTCCAGTTCCTTTTTCCTACCCTCTGAGCTTGCTTCAGAAAAATCTCCAGTAGAACTCGAGGCTTCCGCGCTTCTGTTACGTCAATGCGACGCAATATGTACACTGTGTGTTATTCTAAACACGGTTGCACCTAACTCCACACTCTTTTCTTTTCCTTATTTCTTCTTGCCAGTTCTTGCTGGTTGCTTTACACCCCCGTGCAAGCGACAGATCCTACAGCATCCAATGTGATCATATCTCTTATCCGTCTGATCTGTACGCGACCCCCGCGAAGAGGACTCTTTGATTTAGTGTATGGGACGAGAGTAAGGTTACGTAGAAGAGAGTCTTCCCCGTGAACGGCGGCGTCCTTTCGCTCCATGGGTAACAACGAGGGATACCATGGGAACCGGGAATTATTTTTGGTTATAGGATCCTGGATGTTACTGGAAGTTCCGGTAGGAGTGTCTATAAAAAAAGAAATTACGTCATGAGCACATATGGGAATTGTGATTTGGAAATGAATAGGATGAAGATTTAAATGGATTCCTATGGTTCCTTCGTATACAAACCATATAACCATAGGGCTTTGGCTATATGGTGTAGAATGCCTGGTACCTTTACCAGTTTACCGTGGGCCTTGTAATTCCGTTGCTCTTGTAGTAACGGGCAGATTATTAACAGCGCCGATCGACGTCGTTTAAATAAATGGACGCCATCCATCGCCATCGCGGGTTGCAACACCCGCCTGCACGACGCTGACGCGACGGAACAACTTGTGAAAATATGTTCGTCCCCGGTACACGTGAACCTGGGCATTGTGTCTATGCTAATGCTGGGGGGCGGGAGGGGGCCGTCATCTCCTTTCGCAAAGCCTCTAGCGCTTAGTCGCTGCTGTGAGAACTAGCAGTGTTCATCACTGCCACCACTCTGCCGGCACCTATTATATCTGTGAATTGAACAAATGCGTGGACCAACACTCACGCGATATCTCCATAAATTTGGTCACCAAAAATTAGTATGGTTTCCAGACTGCGTTCGATAGTCTAACGAGCCATATGGGTTCATCGTCTTCATTATCATGAAAATTATTTATTTATTTTTTTTTAGATACACTGTTGGAAATTTTTATGTTTAACGAATTGTAGTAATCGAAATTGTAGGGCTGGATGAGATCCTGTCAGAATGTTTTTATAATAAATTCTTACGAGGAACTTGGTGGCGAAGTGGTTAAGTCGCGAATCGGCAAAACGAGCTTGCATACCTGTCAGCACTTGGACCGAACTACTGATTTATATCGACGTAAATCACCGTTAGCTTGGTACGACTACCTTCCTCAGGATGGAGAATATATGTATCTATCTTGAAGTAGAGAATCTTTATGCCCGACTTCTTCTGACCCTCGAGGCTCAGTCTCTGATAGTTCTGGTATCTCCATTTTCTACGGGATCGTTAGGGAACGAATTTCTTGGTTAAGTTCGATGCGTGAGATCCATTTGAATTCGTGGAACACTAAAGTTCATGATGATGGGAGCTCGCGCGCCCTCCGGGATATCGTACGGCTCTCGAAATCGGAAGGGTGTAAATCATCGAGTATAAATAGTGACAACATTAACGCACTTTTCGGAGTTTACGATTCGTTGAATCTGGCCTCGGTGTGCTCGCCGCGGGGGTCGCGGATGAAAAAGGCCGCCACGCTTGGGCGCACTAACACGTATCGCGAGCCCGACGGTATATTTTCGGTTTTGGAGTTGCATTATTTACTTATTTATAGCTGCACTCACCTCTTTGAGGGGCACTTTAAACGCCACGATTCTTGTACCCTTGATCACCTCGCCGAAGGCTTTGTACTGGTGCCACCTGCAAACCACAATGGAGAATTATATTTATTTTTTCTTTGTTTAGCTCAAATATAAAATAATCGTGTCTAAAAATTGTGCTTCTAGATAATGTGAATCTAGAAAACAGGATCATTATTGAGAATTAAACGTATTTATTTACCTAAAGAACTAAATTGCTAGCATTTACATTTCGCACTCTCGAAGCTAAGTCAGAATATCGCTGAGGTAGGTGTTGCCACCTATGGGGTAACATAAGAACTACATATTTTACTCGGTTGATCAGATACTTGAGCACAACGACGCTACGATATTAAAAAATACATTTTATGATTATATTATTAGGACGATTAAAAACTGATCAGTAATATTGTTTATTGTCCGGTGATACCATTCGTAATATCCAAGTCTTCTTACTGGAGTTGAATAACCCTTCTTATGTCAGCAACAGTCGGCACAGTATAACCTCTAAATATCGTGGCCACCATTTCAAGGAAGTAAACATTCACATTCATCGCAACCCATTTCCCGTCTTTTACAAGAATCCAGTAAATCGATAACTCACCTCTGTGGCACCGATCGTGGCATGTTAGCTGAATTTACACGTATTGCTCTCACAAAACTAAAAGCATAACAGATTCTAAATCACTATACGCACACACCAGCAGTAGACATGCAGCCCAGTCCCGCACTTCTGACGCAGTGAACGATCGATCTCTCGATTTTCGCGCGCAATGGCGTAATCTTATGAATTATCATTTTATTAACTATATATATATATATATATATGTGTGTTTAACGTAGAAAGCCACAGAAATATAGATATGATAATAAATTAATTTCGTAGATTATCCAGTGCTTCTGCATAAAATTATATCTGTAAATGATGGGTATCAGTAAAAATTTGTTGACAAATGCTTGTTTATTAACTTGTGGGACATTGAACATCGCCTTCCTTCTTGGACTTCAATTGCATTAACTCATTCAATACTTTTTTCTCTAAATCCAGGAGCAGTGGTGGTTTTTTATACTGAAAATGTCACAATGCATAAAGTTATACATACGTTCAATGCTAAGTGATATAGTATACTTACTGTGATAATTAATGTATTAAACTGATGGGTAAAAGATATTCGTTCCTGTTCTGGCTTAAGTCCTATACGTTCTAAGTCTGGAACGTCTAGCTTTTTGAAGTATTTTTTGTTTGTGGTGCGTACTGTAATCGTACCATCGTTGTCAGCAGTCACCACATACACATCTTTTGGATATGGTAAATTTCGTATTCTCCATTCCAAGGAGGTTTTTGTGAGTCTTCTTGTAACAAAAGGCTATAGAAACGATCATGCATAAGATTCTGCCAAACTCAATGTGCAAAAAAGTATTGATAAAACGTATGTTATATACAGCATTTGAACTTTCACGAATCCCAGTAATTTCCAGATTGTCCTGCTGCTTTGGCTCGGGATCTCCTATCTCAACCAGCCACCCTACGTCTTGTCCAAGTTTTCCTTTTTCTTTCCATGCTCTTTTAACAAGAACATTTGTGTCTAAATGATACTCTTCTACCATCTCTCTGCCATCTTCTAGCAGAAAATGAACCTTTCTTTTGCCTGTATTTAAAAAAAAGTTACATCTAAATTTTACAAAAATCATGTCATTCATACAAAATCGTAAAATAATATTACTTAATGTAAACCAATAACAAAGCAATCCAAATGAAATTAAATGTACTTACCATCTTGTATAATTGCCGTTTTCTTTGCACCCTGAATAAGTCTCAACCAAGCCTCAGACCCCATTTGTAAATAACTATTCCCTGACAACTCCCACGCCTTGAAGTTGGCTACCAAGTTATTCTTATTAAATCTATAGTGGCTGTTCGTAGGTTATTTACCGACAGGAACGTGATACCGTCGTTGACTGATCAGGTAAATAGACTGGGAATATTATAAGATATACCGTCAAACATTTCTGGATGTGCTACCAGAGATCAGTAGGAAGATGCACAACACTACGGTTTTAGGGGATACCAAAAACATGGCACTAAATCGTAGCGGCGAGTCCGGGAATAGAATTTTGTGATCATCGCCTCCGTCAATAATGCATATCCCGTCGTAGCCGAGCTGAACGTGATCACGAACGGGTAGCCTGGCGGGCAGAGTCCTCCGCTACTTATCGCTGGTTCCCAAAGCAACACTTAGAACGAGACAACTCATCGGATATAGCCTAAATACTTTTTTTCTTTGCAATCCTAAATTCGATCGCACAGTGTTAGCTCGGTAAGTTTAATATGACAAAAGCAAGCAACTCATGTCTGCCTGCACTGAAGCGTATGATGCCACACGCATATTTAATACATATTTTACCGATGTTGCGTAGCAGAACGATTGTTGAAACCTATCAGAAACTGTAGAACTTCTCGAGAACTATTGAAAAAGCCTATTGTTGAATCATTTTCAAGAGATTTTAAAAAAGTGCGATGCTGGAGCTGACATCCGTGTATCACCTCCATTTTTGTAATGTTAATATAATATGTATTATATGTATTAATATAATATGTATGAATATGTATTTTAATAGAGAGTCCACAGTGTTCTTCTCTTGTCGGTGCGCTATAAACGCGGAATTGGCAAAATCCAGAAGACTCGCGTGGACGAGGAGAAATTATTTAGTACGCAGCAGAATCTGCGGTTGATCACTCGGAAACGAGTATAGCTGGAAATATAGTCAGACACTACCCCGCAGCATGGAAACACTTTGTGAATGCATCACCAAAATCTCGCACAAATATAAGTCAGATCTATGCTATACTTCCGGTATCAGCTGAGATAACAAATTTATGGCTTTCCGCATGGCCGCTTACATACATGTTTATGGTGAGTACAAAACAAAAGGAAAAAAGAGAAAGATCACTTACCCCAGGATCCTCGTCTGCTTATCCCTTGTCCATTTGTATTGTTCATTGGTCCAGTACATCTTTCGACACTCGAGGTCCACTTTGGTGACGACTTGACGATTCCAGCCTTGGCCACTATTTTGCACTTCCT